GGAATGACCTCGATGCACATGCTGTAAACGTGTCCATCTCCCTTTGTATGCATCGGTCTTCTGGTAATATGACAATGCGGCTATGCATACTTTTCACAAGTTACGCCGTCCATGCTTTTCGCAGCGAGGGTTTTCATCGGACTTGATTTATGGAACTACGAGTACTTGCATAAATTCGTGAATCGTGGTCGGACTGTACCGGACCGTGAAATCCCGTCTGGGGTGACCTGAACTTCACGCTCTCCTGATCCCATGGCTCGGCGTCAACACGCCACCCAGCCATCGGAAGAGGCCGCCTCTCACGACCGCCTGGCATCTGCGCCTGACGCCGTGGCACCCCGGGGGCGCCTCCATCCCGCACCCTGCAGCGGCGGGCGTGGTTCGCCGACTCCTGTTGACGCGGGATGCGACACTGGCGGCTTGTCATCCCCGAGATGGGGCGTCGGTGGTTCTCTGGGGGCGGAGGGAGGAGGGAGGGCGGGGGGGGGGGCGACCTTCCGGTGGCTACGTGAGAAAGCTTAGCAACGCGTCGATGAGCCAGTGCTTACTTGCAGCTGTGTTCACACGTGATGCAAGGCATGTGGGGAGAGTTCTTATCAAGCGCCAACTCGTGGGCTTGATCGTTATCTTTCACATGCCCGTTTGCTCCTCAGTGGCAGTGTCACGAGCGTTGATCGCGCCAGCTGTCGCGCCAGAAGCAGCAGACGACCTACCGAAGCAGAAACAAACGCGACGTGACCTACATTAGAGCCTAATTACTTACGGCTTCAAGACAGCCTTGCCTCTCCGCTCCTTGCCCACGCATCAACCAAGCAATCACGCATTCGACCTCCCTTGAATGTAACGCGCTGCCATTTGTATATGCCATAAACTCTCCCACAATTAGATTACGGCGCGTTGAAGCGTTTCTCAGACACCGTACTCCAGCCGCACCCAGCCACCTAACGACGCGCCTGCCCTGCGATTGGCGGCCGGAAGTCAGCTGGCGCGAGGCCGCGGGCGCCTTTCCGGCGGACGCGCAGACCACGTGACCGCCGCACGCGCTCCCGCCGCCGCCGATGTCGAATCACGTGAGGAGGTCGGCGGATCCCCTGACGGCCAGCTTCAGCCCGGAAATGGTGGCCGTCATTGCTGAGGTCACGGGGTGAACGACCAGGGCGCGAGCCATGCGGGCGTCGCTCCGCGGGTGTTCACTGTCTGAGAACAAACACCGGCCGCCGCCGCGTTTACCGTTGGCCAACCGCGATCTGCGCAAACAAGGCTTGTTAATGGTGTGCTTGAACGCGGAAAACGAAGACGTCTTCGTCTCAGCCTTATTGTACCGTCACGCAAGAAACGGATTGTATGGAGGAACGCCATTCTATTCACTGTCCATGCAAAGGACATTCTGTGGACAGACCATGAACTTACTGTGTGCTTCAGGCGGTCCCCCCCAAAAAAACTTCTCCAATTTGCCGTATTGAAGCATTTCTCTGCATTGAAGACGGAACAACAATAATATTTCCATATTTTCCAATTTACCGACAAATGGAACACCGTTTTGAAAGATAACATGAATAACGTGTAGATAGTGTTATGTGTCCGCCCCATAGCTCAGTTGGTTTAGAGTGCCCACTTTCGGATCCATCCGTCCGTGGCGGGAGGAGCCCGCGTCACTTAAACGCTCGCTGTTTGGCGTCGACGGCTGTGTGGCCTCCGACCGTAAGCAGCGGTTGCTCTAAAGGTCAAGTGACGCTAGAGGGCAGGACGGACCGTGCCGGGACATTGATGCACGTCAGACTTTCGCCACCAAATTCTGCCATTGACCTGGAGTTGCACGATTGGATGGTGGGGTTCGAGGCTGACACAAGCACTGCTTTTTTATACATTCATAATGTATGTGTAATTCATACATTCATAATGTTTGGTTTAAATTTTAAAAAAATAAGCTAAGTGCTTTACGTTTTCCATTTCTGTCTCACCGTAACGTCATTGAAATTCCTGCCAATACGTTAGCCATCCTGCGATAATGGCCAAAAAAATATAGATGTCGAGTCGTCGATATCTGGCGTTCGTGAGCACGATTGCCAGACATAACGGCCGTTAATTGGTCCTCGATCAATGTTGTGCAAGGTACGACGACATTGTCCAACAACAGCATGTTGAAGAGCGTATTTACCAAGCAGAGAAGTTGTGTGATGGAAAGCAGTCTTTTCCACTTAAAAGTATACCAACTGTTATAAGTGGGTCTATTTAATCATATATGATGTTTGTTTCAATATTTTCAAATGGGGATCATTCCCTTTGAGGGAAAAAACAGTATCGTGCGAGAAAATTTAGGACAACAAGTTAGCACGTGATTTACTGTTCCTGCGTTGCAATTCAAGTACAATTAATGTCTGCTCAGCAGCGCAAAGATAGTTTTCACCGAGGAAATGCACCACACCATTAAATCTGCTGTTAGCATAAAGAGTGGTTGGAAGCTAGCACGGTGACCAATTCTTCGAAGTTTAAATGGCCAAAGTAATCGACCAGCCGACTTACCTGAAACTTGAGGAAAGTGGCGCCTGGGCCAGAAGGCCGAGGAGTGGACGACCTAGAACAGCCCTGTCGGAATACCAGGTGGGCGGCGCGGAGGAGCTGACCTGCTCCTAAGCAGACCGGACCGGAACCCACCTGAGCCAGCGCAAGATGGCTAGGTCACTGGGAGTCCCCAGATGAAGCGATCAGCGGCACCCAAAGCCAAGGGGATGAAGGCATTTCAGCGGCTCTATAATTCCGCCCATGTCTGACGCCACGAATCAGAAATGAAATTGTTGAGTTGGAGCTCCAGTGCATCATGAGATTGTCATCAAGAAAGTCAAGGACGGGCTTTCACCGCTGAGAAGGACTTTACGCTAGAGGTGTTGCAAAACGCTTGAGTAAATGTGTCAAGGAAAGTGTCTTGAGTGTCTCAAAAAGGACAAAAAAGCGCGAGTTCAGGTGAACGAGAAGCACAGCGAAGCGAAAGACTGATACCGCACCGCAAAGCAAGCTACGATTTTCAAAAACAAAACCTTGGCTAGCGCCAACGTCTCCTGGAATGGAAGCACTTACATCTCCTTTCCGGACATTGAAATTGAGGAACTCGGCTTGGTCACCATCACTTGGAAGATGCTGTTGGCTTGCCTGAGTCGCGTGGAAGATGCTGTGAGCTGGCGAGAGACTTAACCCGCTGGCTTCCCCGCTCAGCAGGACAGCACCCTCTCCCACATAAGCGGAACTGGTCATGGGCCCCTCTCTTGACGCTGCCACATCATTAGACGAGACGAGTGACTACCAACCTCCCCTGACTTGAGTCCTTTGGACTACTGCGTCTGACATGCGCTGTCGGAGGAAGTGTACCGATTTCGCCACCAGAAGTTTCACCGTCTGGATGAGGTGAGGATGTCCTTACTGCACGAGAGGAGGTGCCACTAGACCCCATAAGGAGTCGCACCTGTCAGGGGAAGCATAGGCTGAATGCTGTCATTCAGGCTGATAGTGGTCATACAACTCACGTGTTTTTTAAATAAAATACTGACAATGCACCTGTTTTCCGTCGATTTTGGAACTGATCTGCTAACCAAAATTGGCTGATTATAGTGAAATTCGGCGCGCATACTCTCTCTTGTTTACTTATTCAACTTGCATAAGATCACGTTCGTGGCCTAAAAGGCTGTTTTTATCTCCGAAATTGTGAACCACAGATAGAAACGGTTTTTGGTCCGCTCGGCATATTTCGCTATTGGATGGACCGATAGACGGGTATGGACGCTGCAGGGCACTTGGACCAATAGTGGACTGCCAGTGGACCGGTATGCGCACACGCCGCAGACACTATGTGAGCCGACAATGAGAAGACAGTGACCAGTTTACGTTCCAGCCTTGGAGAGCGTGCGGCACGCCCATAAACCCCTGGCACGCCAGGCCGATAAACATTCCACCGAGGGATGTCCCTCAGTCAGCCGATGACGGAGTTCGCCAACAGCTCATGGTAACCAGGCACTCTGTGTACCCCCGATGGACAGTCTGCAGCCGGGTGGCGCTGCTGGCCCCGGCGGCGGCGGCGGCGGCGGCGCGTGGCAGGCGGCGGCGGCGACGGCGGGGGCGCGCGGGCGCGCGGCGGGCGGCGGGCGGTGCCACCGGCCGCCGCCTGGTGAGAGGGCGCTCACGAGGCGTCACGACGCCGGTGCCGATCGCGAGGGTGACGCGCCAAAAGCACGCACGACACTCCACGAGCGGCGCCGGCCGAGCGCGGGCCACTCCTGCTGACGCAACTGGTCCAATTGTTTCCGCGAGTCACCCGGGCGGCGCGGTCGGCGCCTGCTCCCGCTCCGGCGGCCGTGTCGCGGCGGCTCCTTTTGGAGGGAGGGACGCTGTTGGCAGGGCTGAAGCAGGCAGGGATAAGGGACAGGGGACGCTGACCCCAGGCTGCAGACGTGCAGAATTAGCCGATGCCGTTGCAAGGAAATGCATCAAGACCCCTTCTAGCCCATTCTAGCACATTCCTGCCACTGTGCCCAGCGATTACTGCGATTAATTTCAGACATGGCTAGGCACTGGAGGAATCGCCCTCAAAACTCAGACAATTACGGTAGATCTCCAGCCACCGATTTCCCCAAATTACGCAAATTGGGCTCTGGTATGGGTTTTGCACCGCTTGGCCGCTTCCCGCGTCGCTCAGCCAGCATTACCACCAGGCGTCCTTCTCCGGTATGCGGTCGCCAGCCCGTCCCCCGAGCGTGGAGGATGTGTCCCCAGCGGCGGCGGCCTTCTGGTCACTGTTCCCAGACGGCGCCCCGCAGGCGTGGAGGATGTGTCGCCGCCGGCAGCGGCCTTCCGGCGCCATTAGCCCAGCGCGGCCCCGGGCCAGGGTCGAGTGATGACCATTGTGGAGTCGCCACACGCTGGCCGGCGCCGAAAATAATCGGCCACCCAAGGCTTCGGCTTTGCCCGATATAAGGCAATAGCGTTGACGGAGTGGCCAGCAGTCTATCGATCGCCCCTGGGAGGAGGCAGCCATGATTGTGAGTCCGGAGTGTGCGGTGGAAGTGTCTCGGTGGTGGTGGATAGCCAGCTACACGGCGGAGGTGTCCTGACCACAGCTGAGTGATGTCCAGACCGGACTCCGGACAGATGTCCGGTGGAGGTTTCCTGGCCGTGTCGTGCCGTGTCTGGGTGGCGATCTTTCCGGTGGAGATATCCTGCTCGTCACTCGTGACAGCCTGTCCATCGGAGGTGCCCTGATGGCAGTTGGGAGAGAATCTTCCCAGTAAAAGTGGGCTGATCGTGACCTCAGAGACGACCTACCCAGTGCAAGCTCCTGGCCTGACCCCTAACCCTCGACTTGGTGGCATTCTGTTCCTCGAAGGCGGTCTTAGCATGGCTGAACGAGAAACCATTCAGTGATGTTGCCTGGATGGAGCTGAGCCAAAATCCATCCAGTGGAGGTGGCAGTGGAGGAGTGACAACACGTCCAGCGGCGGTACCCCGACGTTGGCTGAGTGGCGCCTTGTCCAGAGGAGGTGCATTGTTGGTCGCTGAGTGATAGTCTATCCAGAGAGCTGACTCTGTCTGTGGCTGGGTGGCGAAGAACGTCAAGCCTTAGTTCCCTCACGTGGTTTGGACGTGGTCGGAGCGTTCTCGCAAGTGCGGAAGCCTAATGAGCCTCTGGCGCCGAGTGAAACCCGCCACCGCTCGGAGCGGCATTCAAAGTGAACTTGCCTGTGACTCTGCCGGTCCCGCCACCCTCCGCGGTCTGGCCTGGGTCCGGCTTCTCGGCCCGCGGGTCCAACCATTACCTCATTGGTTTCGGCCACTGCCTGGCGTGACAACGTGTGCCACCTGAAATGGGTGTTTCGCGTGTCAAAATCGCCGCAGTCAGCGCCCACTGAATGATCGTTTCCGCGGTGGCAGGGTGGCGCACAGGCCTTCCGTCAGCCGGGAAATGGTCCGTGTAGTCCGCCGGACACGAGGCTGAACGCCACGGCCATTAGCGGACTCACGCCGGCTCCTTACGGCGAGTTAGGTTGTGTACGAGCGTGGTCACGTGACTTCTCCATGGAGTGGGTCCATACCGACAGACCTGAAATTGAATTGACTCACAGCCTTCTGGTTTTGTTCAGGACCCGACATTCATCGTGACGTGGCCGAAATCACCGCTGGGTGATCGTGTGTTTTCGTTTAGATGACCCAAACCAGTGTATCCCCACAACAACCGGCTGGCTGTGACGACAGACATGACACGCGAAGGTGTGGAATTAACAACGGGCTGAGCAGAAACAGATTGCAACTTCTCGCAGAACACACCCCCGAACGCAAAACACAGCTATCTACTCGCTGTAATTCACGTCTTCTTCCATGGGGAAAACAATAATTCCACTGTCGCGCAGGTGAGGACTTCTCAACGAAAAAATAACTTTGCCACGGACCCACGGTGTAAGCCAACCCTTTAAACAACAGAATTTGAATAGAACGGAACCGTTGATGTCAGTCTTAGAGAGGCGACAGCTGCCTCCAATCCAGCCAGGTTTTGCTTACTGGTGCCGTTAAGTGTCTCGTTGACGTGGCTGCCTTATTTTCATCAGCATTCCTGGTGTCCCACGCCATTTACTCGGTAAATGAGTAAATGGCATGAGACAAAAAAAAATACAAGACAAAACGCAAAACGAAAGGCTGATGAGGGTGGTTATGAGACGCATTGTCCCCCGACGTTGTGTGTCGGGGCCCTCCCTCTCAGCGGCGTGCGTTTGACGAGGTGTCCTGGTTAGAGACGCGGATGGGTGGCATGGAGCCCACAAACCCTTCTTCGACTGCGAGGCACAGCCGGTCATCCAGCCACTGAGAAACCGTAACAGGTATCATTGTTCGACTTACGTAAAGTGGTCAGTCTAGCGCGTACCATATTGTGTAGAAGCGGGGGCGCGCACTATTTCGTTTAACGCCTGCAAGTATGACGTTTATTCGATGCTGTAGCCCTTGTGTACTGCGCTCGTTGTGACGCAGCGCTCGATGTTTTCAGACGTTGTGGGTGACTTCCGTTTGTCTGTCGGTGTGCGCCGGCTCCCCGGTCTATGACCTGGCACGGCCGACCCACCCCCTCCAGCCGGTGCAGCATGCCCACGAGGTCAGTCGAGGTCAGGCGTGGTACCCACGCAGACAGGTCAGCCGATGGTCGGGAACGACAGGAGAGTGATCTCAAGAGCTTGATTACAGTGTTGGTCCAGTAATCGGACGGGAAGCGGGAATACTACCTTTTTTGAAACCGTCCTGGGACGTCACGCGCTGTGGCTGGAACCAAAGGCGCTTCTGCTCTGAAACCGACACAGGCGTGCAATCTAATGCTCTGCGACTGGCATGCATCCAAAGTGGTTTCGCTTTTTATAGCGAATTAATTATCGTTTGTGAAAATTTTAATTGATCACACCCAACCAACTGCGATCAGTCAATGAATAATCCCTGCGAAATCATCATTTTCCATCGACTGAAGCCTTTAAGCCTTGACAGACACAGGGATGCATCCAAACAATTTTCGGAGTGATGGACAAGCTAAATTAGATGCACTCTTATTTCTGAGTCGATGAAATTGTTGGCCCTAAAAGAAGAAAAATAAATGTTGGAGAGCAAATCGGCCTGAGCCTTCTAGACTACAAAATGGTTACTCTATCGGCATGTTACTTCCCTGTCATTAAACGATTGGACTCTATCACCGACTGGCGGATGCACGCTCGTCAACGAACTCGCAGCGCTTAACGTACGGATTGTCGTATAATTTAATGCCGTGTAATAATGCTTGTGAAATGTTTTCACATTGGAACGATGCTTGGAAGTCTCGCATGCATCGCAGGTGATTTGACATTTGACTCCGACTATTTTCCCCGATAACGTGTCTTCTATCGGCCTTTCCACAGAAGGCGCACCCGTACCAGTTTGATTACGCCGTGAAGGACGAGTACCGAGCGCTCGACTTTGGGCGCAGTGAGTCGCAAGACGATAGTGGCACGGTCATTGGGGAGTACCACACCCTGTTGCCGGATGGCAGGACCCAGCTGGTCTCCTACACAGCTGACCACAGCAGCGGATTCCAGGCTACAGTGACGTACGAGGGTGAGGCTCGCGCAGAACCCGCACATTCGCAGCCAAAATATCCCGCTGCTCCTCCGAAATACCCCGCACCTGTGGCCCAAACTCCTGCTCCTGCGCCGGAGGCCCCTGCCCCTGCGCCTGCAGCCCCTGCTCCTGTGCCTGCAGCCCCCGCCCCTGTGGCGGAGGCTGCGGCCCCTGCGCCCGCAGCCCCTGCAACTGTGACTGAAGTTCCCGCTCCCGCTCCTAAAGTTCCCACTCCGGCTCCTACATACCCCGCTCCTCAGCCGAAATATCCTGCTCCTCGGCCGCAATACCCCGCCTTTCAGCCAAAATATCCCGCCCCTCAGCCGAGATACCCTGCCCGTCAGCGCCAACACCCCGCCTACGCGTACCCGCGCTACCCGGCTCCACCGCGGGGCTACGGCGGCCGCCCGACACGCTACGGTGCGCCGCGCTACGCCTACATCCCGCCACCATCTGTCTACTTCACCAGCGCGCCGACAGAGGCGCCACTGGCGACGGCGGCTGTGGTTGCGGAGGCGGAGCCCACCACGGCGCCCTCGGCCACCACCCCTGGACTGGCGGCCGACCAGCCGCTGCCCGTGGTCGCCGTTGACCCTGTGCCGGAGTTGCGGCAGCCTGTGGAGCCTGCCGTTGAGGCAGAAGGTGGGACGGAGACCCAGCTGGAGGCTGCTCCGCAGGGGCCCGAAGAAGAAGGGGGTGTGGGAGATGCGCAGCAGGCTGCTGCCGCGGAAGAGCCCGTGGACGCTACAGCTGCAGAAGAGCCCGTGCAGGTGGTGGCCGTGGAGGAGCCTGTGAAGGTCGTAGCTGTGCAAGAGCCCGTGGAGTTGGGTGCTGTGGAAGAACCCGAAGAAGTGGCGAGTGTGGAAGAAGCCGAGGAGCCTACCGCGGTGCAGGAGCCTGTGGCAGCAACAGTTGTGGAGGCGGCAGTGGGGGAGGCCGATGAGGACGCTCTGGAGGTGCCTGAGGAACCGGCGGCTGTGGAGGAACCCGAAGAGGTTGGAGCAACAGACGATGAGCAGCAGCAGGAGGCCACGGTCGTGAACGACCCAGTCGCTGAGCTGGCTGATGTGGCCGCTGCAGATAGTTGAGGTCCGAGCCGACGCAGCCATCCCAGGCCAGCCGTCCCCTGTAAGTGAAGACGCAGTGCTCGGTGATGTGGGGTATGGCCTTAAACTGTAAGTTAAGATCATCGGAGGAGGTACGGTTTTGATTGTCATGGCAGAGGAGGGCGACGCCTCCTTCTCAAGGATCTCCTCACAATATTTATGATTTTATTTATTCAGACTGTTTCTAGTGTCTTTGTCAATGTCGTTTCATCACGCTCCATGATTTATGGATGTTCTCAGGGATAAGGCGTATATCTGTGACTGGGCAAACGGTACATCTCGTGCACATTTTAAGAAAGCGTTTGAATGCTGTTGTAGTGAATGGAATACAATGTTTTCTTTGTGTCGTTGAAACCGGTTTTGTATACTTCGATTGATCGTTTCCATTTGACACGAGGGAGATGAAGATCACAAAACGCAGATCTCGTTGAAAGTTGAATACGAATGTAAATACTAGTAATCTGAATTTAGTTTTAGCGAGGCTTCCTCAGTGCCAGTCACCTTTGGGTACGACAGGATAGTTAAGCTACTGATTTGATCTTCTTGACGACTCGACCTCCTGCCGACTTTTCCTGTCTCTCCACATCATACCTTTCCAGCGTGCGATAAAACGACGCAACGCTTCCTGACTACCAATTTGGCACGAGCTAACAAGAAGTTATCATCCCGCAATGTCCAGGGGCGTCTCTAAGCCTTATTTCTGGGCGTATTTTTCGCAACTTCGTTCCGAATGGTGTGCACGCGTGACATTGGGCTCAAAGCACCTGCTAAGACAAGTTTATTGCATGCATCCGGAAGTCACCACCTACGCTTTGCCCAACAGTTCCACGGATATTTTGCCTCCACTCTTTCGCCAGACACAACTGGCGAGTGGTCCACGTGCCGCGCAGTGTTCGGCACGGCCGCCTCGGGCCCGGGAAACACTCACTGGCCAGGTGCCAGCTGATCATCCGATGCCGGTCGGGCCGAGCAGTGCAGCGGCTCCTCTGAGACTCTCGTTTCGTGCCGCCCTAGTCCAGCATCTGCCGCCCGAAACATGGGAGTAGCTATATGTGACTGCACTGTGATCAGTATGTACAGGATTGGTATACGTACATAATTTTAAATATATACAGGACTGTTACTGGTATAAGTATATGTACTATGATAAGTATGATAAAGGAGGCAGATTTAATGTTGGGCTGACGTGGGTTAGGTGCTGAAGTCAGCGTATGTTTGCTCAGATACTAGTTGATGGTCTCATGCTGTTCGTGGTTTCGATGATCAATTCCCAAATATTACAGAGACGGAACATGAAAACGCCAGAAGTGGATCCCGCGAGCGGTTTGAAGTGAAGACAATCATAGCACGTATTTCAATCCGAACGACTTCTAACGGTGCGTTTGTCTACAGCAAAGTGGTCACGACATCCCATCTGAGTTTAAACTGAGCTCCATTGGTGCAGAGGCGGATTCGCCAAGTCATGGGAGGTCGGAGGCACTGACATATGATGGAGGAGAACCAGCATCATTTGCATGCATGCATTGCCTTAACAGGGTGCATAGGCCTCCAAAACATAGACATTTTTGGCGTTCTTTTCGCCAGCAAAAACGCACCTGCTACAGCAACCCCAAAGGAAAACGCCACGGAATCCAAGCACGTTCTCTCTCCCTGGATCAAAAGATGCCAAGTTCCCCTCTCCAAATACGGGAAGCCGGGAGGAATGCAACCTAATCCAAGCAGAGATGCGCGGCTAAGACCAAATAAACGGGCGACCCGAAGCCCAGGCAGGAAGGCCCCGACAGAGGCTGTCTCACGCCCGCGTGGAGTGGCTCCCCCCGCCTCCCCCCCCGCCCATTCTTAGGTAAAGGTGTGCATTAAGCTAAGACAGAGGGAGTCCGAAGAGAAGGCAGGGACCCAAAACATTGGTGATTGGGGTGTCTTCAAGCCGGGTAGAAGGACATTTCAAATCAGGTAGAAGGGTGCACGAGAAGAGTGTACTGACCAGCTAACCCAACCTTGGTGAAAGGGGGTCCCAAAACACTAGCAGAGGAGCACGCTAAGCCAAATGGAAAGGCGGACTGGAGTGTCGATAGATCGGTGTCCCGAAGGCATTTCAGAATATTTTTAGGGAACGCGACTCAAAACCATGCATTCCTTCATGGAACGTCTACGATAACAGTGGTTATATCAGAGGCCAGGCGCCATAGCGTCATTTGAAGATGGAGCCATTGCCACCACTGGCATCCTTAGCACCTTTCTAGCACAAGTGTGAACAATCGGTAGCCACTGAGCTCTTGCTGATCTGCGTAATGTGTAAAGAACACCTTTCGTGCTAATCACGGGAAAGACGCGTAGAAGTCCCAGTTGGGTGGTCCTGTTGACGGAAATCCTGGTTTTGGGAATTTAACTTCTTTGGTCAAAACGGTCAAAACTGGCGCGAAAGTTAACTGCAAAACTGTTACACACTGTTAGTCATCAAATATTCGCCCGCCGGGTGAAGGTGGGTAACCATGGTTATGGTATGTAGTTCAGCGTATGGCTCACCGTCAAAGATAGCTGAGTTTGCAGCTAATCTATGCACCAGTTATGGACGTATGCCCCTGAACTTAAGAACTAAGAGCTAAGTATAATCCCTGAGCTAAGTATAAACACAAGAGCCGGGGGTGTCACTTTCTAAAATCGGCTGGGGGACTCGGCCAAAAAGGTTGACCTAACTTACCTAAAAATCTGATCTCTCCCCAATTTTGCCCACCTGGATTTACGTTATCGATGTTAAAATTTAAAAAGAAATTTGTTGTAATATTTTGTGCATTCAAATTGTTTTCCTGCGAGGAAATTTCTTCCCATTTCAAGCTCATGTGGGCTATCGTTTTGGAGAGAAGTGTAGAATGGGATGTAATTCATGGAAATACATCTTGGTAAATCTTAGAAAGGTATCATTAAGGATAACCACTGTGGGTGTCGTGTTGCATAACCACGACAGCCACGATTATGCGACAGATGCACATACCACTGGTGCGGAAAACATACGCTAACTTATATCTGAGCCACCTTGTACTTTTAAAAGCTGTTGAATATTGCATTCCATTGTTCTTTATCCCAATCCAGGCATCATCATTTTAAAACACTAGTCAAACATTTGGAGACTGGCTCAACATATGAAGTAATAAGAGCGGCAAAAACGTCAGGTATTTACAGGATGCCAGTTGGTAAAATACTGACATGGTCTAATATTGATGTTCTAAAGAACCATTCACCTGGTATACCAACTGTCAATTGTTTATCATTCTCCGTCTATTTGGCCCAGTATTCCCTCTTTGCTCATATAGCAATGAGGGGACTCAGAGGAGCATTCAGGGGGGGGGGGGGGGGGGAACGGATCGCTCAGGCCCACCCGAAATGACATAAAGCGACGCCCCTGATAAGAGCAGCTATGTCAGCCCTTGGTGAATTCATTGAATCCGTGTTAATTAATTAGACAAAATGAATAGAGCTCCATCAGCGAATTGCACAGGCACTTGCTCCAACTGGATTAGTTGGAGTAAGTGAACGACCCAAGCGAACGGTAAAGGGTTGAAGGCTGGTTAAAATTATCGATCTTGTAACTCATGAGACTAATGTACGCTTGAGAAGCCATTCCAGGCTGAGTGTTTCTGACGTGTGATTGCCTGACAGGAATAATTGCGAACATATATCTGCTTCCCTGAACTGGATCAGATGGCACCTAGTCTCTGAAAAAACGCAGAGGGAGGGCGAGTAAAGTTTGAAAGCTGTCTACGCTGCCTCGCATTAGCCTGGATGTTATAAATTTCATTCATGAAGCGCTATACATTAAGGTGTGTCATCAGTAACAAAACCAAGTGAGAAAAAGAAATTATTTGGCGCAGGAGTCCAAGAGAACACGACATAGCAAAAGTTCTTCCCAAAAACTTAGATTCCTGGCGTGGGAGCCGATCGAAATATTACCGTAAACCAACGCCCGTCGTTGCAGTCACTTCATGCTGGGCGGCGTTCGTCGTCGCAGGTAACACCAAGCCGTGGGCAGCAATCAGTACAAAATACCTTCGCGTATGGAAACGATGCCACCGAGCGCTCCTTAAGCCATCGTACGAGAATGTCCCAGTCTAAGCTCTAATATGCGGATCAAAAATTGACCGATTGATTGCCATATGGCGGAAACTTTATGTGCTGTTGAGTATGAGCTCAGTTGTACGAGAATGTTGGCTAGTATTGCTTTAGACTTTCACTTCTCTAAGACAACACACGTGATGCAAAAAAACATGTTATGTCGTTACACGTTGTTTAGTTCATGTTATTATGCCGCTATCCAGAGTCCTTCAATGTGACGGAATGCATATCAACAAATTTACTACCACGCCAACGTCTGAGCCAACGAGCAAATGAAACGACGTACTTCGGCATAAGATATGATAATGAGTAAATGCTCAACAGTGAGCACATGAAATGTCCATTGTTACTCGATGAGGTTTGAACACTTATTGTTATAAATTCGAAGATAATGCGTTTTCATATTTACCTGGCATGGTTCGATGGTCGGATTCGCCGCTGGGCTGCCACGCTGCACAGAGCCGTTTTGAACGCGGGAGGCCAGAGGGTACAGCAGCTGCTAGTTGGTGCTCAGCTGCTAAATCAGATCGACCAGGCAGGCTTGGCACGTGTCCCGGCATAGGCTTGAATGCCACAATATCCCCTCTCCCAGACCTCTCCGGCGCAGGTCTTGCCGTTGGCCCCAGGAAAAATTTCGATCTCGTGGTCGTGCCGTCCAAGCTCAGAAGCTGATGGAGGGGGTTCAACTCGTTGCCCTGCAGCTTGCAGATAAAACAGTGAACGGGTGACTCAGTGGCCAGCTCAAATAGCCGGAACACGTCGCCTATCGTCTCTGTATTGACGACCGTGCCATCGCAGCCGAGGACATTGATGTGACCGTCGCACCGCGGGCTCACGGAGTGTAGTTCGTTGAGCAAGTGCAGGGCGCGACCGAACTCGGACGTAAAATGAGTCACGCAGCGGCTGTCTGGCTCAATGATGACAGCCCCGTGTTTTTCGACGGCATTCGCTTGGCTCCGTGTGGCCCACGTAGCTCCTGCCTTCGCGGCCGTCGGAGTAGAGGGTGTCAAACTTGACTCGAAGATTGCTTCAAAATTTGGATGAGCCGTCTCCTTTCTCGCTCTGTCTCTTGCGCAGCAGATCTTCTTAGGATCTACGATATTTGATTTCAAGTGGCCAGTCCGTCTTCGCTGTCTTGTTGAAAGGCGTTGGTGATAGCAACAGCGGCCTGGTTCGAGTCACCGGAGCTGTCAACCGCCAGAGCGGTGTTCGTCAAATCGTTAACGTTACAATCTACAGTGACAGTGGTCTCAACC